TCAAGACCAGTGTTTAGGCGTCTTCGGGAAACCGGTACCAATCAGACGCCTCTTCCAATCGGCCCAGTAGTCGGCTCAATTATTAATGCGAGTCCAACCTTTTCTGGCCTCGTACACTCACAATTGTTGTGCCTCTCAGAGGCGTGGCCGTCAAGACTATTCAACCGGGCCGGATCACTGTTGTCTGGACTGTGAGTCGTCCCGGAAACGACTCAAACGACGACAGAATGAGTCATCTGCGCTATGGGCCAAGGATGGGCCGTGTCTTGGGGCTCGAAGGAGACTGGGAGCCGTGGCGACAAGATGCGACAATTGAGCCAACTTGTTCAAAATTTGCTGACTGTCTCAAAAACCTACTTTAACGTAATATAAGTAGCATAGTGGATTATAATGGAAAAATGCAAGGTTATGATAGATTTGTATACAAATGGTCTTCGAAGAATGCCTTAGGAAATTGATGTTGTAGTATGTTTCATATAATTTTTTACAAGACGAACAGAACATGGAGACGTAACGCGGTCTCCACGATAAACCAAAGCAAGGTCGCTTTAGGGCATCATACTTTAAATGCAGCTCATTTACATGCGGCAGCATTGCGGGATGAAAAAAATAGAAATTATTTCCCAAAGGATGTAGTTTTTCGGTCGAAAGTGTCTTCGTTTAATGCCTTATCCTCAGCCATTTCACTTTTTGGCAATAATGTAGCTAAAGCATAGGATATGCCGGAATGATACACAATCTCGAGTCTCTTCATAATTACAGAATCGAGATGGAAAGAGTGAGGAGCATGATCATCATTTGCCCACCATCTATTGACTTGGAATTCTAGTATGAAGAATTGGATATTCCTGGTCAGCAGATACGCGAGATTAGAAATATAAGAAACATACTGACATTTAAAGTCGATGACATGACGGGAATTATGAAAGAAAGGTAAGGATAAGAAAAACTCAAAAAATGGATATGCTTACCTCCATGCGAGCCAACTGAAAAATGACTGCCAATACTAAGAAAATGGAATAATTGGGATGACCACGAAGAAGAAAACAAGACATTTCACAAGTCTTATATTCCTATTAGAGTAGGGTTTCGAGACTACCAGTAAATCAGTGTAATGAGATGTATTCACCCTTAAATCAGTGTAATGAGAATGTAATGTGAATACATCTTATTTCACAAGTCTACCTACGCGCCATGAGGGGATGGACAAATTGGAAGTTTACTTCATAGCATGTGGGGTCCGAATGCAGAAATAAAATTGACGAAACAGGGAGAAAAATGAGAAGATGAATAAAGGAATATCAAAGGCTCTGCATTAGAACGGATGACGAAAAATCAGAAATACGGCAACGCATTGCACAGACTTGACACGAGCTTAATTGGAGGGCAACTGAAAGAAGGGCCTGAGACGGTTAAAACACGAGAAAACAGAGGATAGGGAAGGAAACAAGGACACGACAGAACAAGCAAAAGGGAGCTGACCGAAAAAGAGGAATCGCAAAGAAGTAGCGGGTGGGTAAGTTGCGGAAATCGAGTAAAGATGTTCTCGATGAGTGAAGTCAGCTCGAAAAAAAGTTAAGAATTCGGGGCTTGATGGCCACGGATGTTGGGAACCGTCAGAGTCGGGTGTCATTCTTGTAAAAGTCTCACGTTAGCACTCGGTCAAGAAGACTATCCTGCATTATTTTACTTCTTATGTAGACTCAATTATGCATAAATACAATTAAAAATTAGAACACATCCAGGTTGAGTTATTTGGTTAATTATCTTTCATACTGGTCGAGTGTGTGTGTGTGTGTGTGTGTGTGTGTGTGTATGTATGCGTGTTAGCGTCTATATGCACTTTCATACGAAATGAAAGTCGCGCCAGCAATGTTATCTCAAGAGATTTATCGAAACCCAGTTTCTCTTCGTATCAAATGTTGTGGCCTGTTTGAACTCACTTCCATTTTGAGTGAATTTGTTTGATGAAGAGATTTAACATTCACACTCACCAGAAGATGATGGCGGATTCCGTTTCCCCATCTGCTGTCTGGCTTTACCGAATCATTTTGTTTAACACTCTTATCGAAGCGATCTTCTACAATCTACGTGAAATCTTGAAGACCAGAATGGTGTGGTCTTTTGTCTGGTTGCGGTCTCCTTCCGTTGGATAGAAGTTGTTTGACCTTGTTTTCGCAACTTGGTCCCATTGGCAGGAAGACTCAGAGAAATGTACCTTATCCTGAGTCCAAAGTGTGAATGATCATTTCCATAGTCGGACCGTGGAGGTGGTACATTCCCACACGTTTCGCCGGTATCGTCAGGGAGTCTCTCCATTCCTAGCACCACACAACAACTCGTCAAAGAGAGAAAAACTCGTCCAAGGTCTCACAGCTGGAGAATGTGAAGAAAAGTTGGGTTTCGAGGAATCTCTTGTTTCATAATTGATGAGCTTACTTCCATTTCGAG